CACCGGGGGGCCTGGTGACCAAGGCCTTGGGGGCCGGTGTCCGGGGGAGCAGGAGGCCTGGGCACGTGTTGTTTTGCATGTCCCTAAAGCTCAGATGCCCACAGCACACTGTCCCCTGGTGTGGACCAGCTGTGGCTGTCCAGCTGGTGCTGCCCACTGGCCCGACCGCAGGCGCAGCCCACTCTCAGGAAGCACCCACGGCTCAGGGGGCTTTTCAGCTCCAGGTCCGGGCCTCAGACCCCACACTTGCCGGGCCTCAGACCCCACACTGGCTGGGCCTCTCGATCACCCAGGAGGCAGGCCCATATGCAATGTCTGCCTGCACCCCAGGGCCCAGTCCAGGCCGCTGAGGGCCAGCGCAGCTGTGTTCACCCGTCAGGCCCCACTCCCCGCTGCCCCTCTCCCTGGTGGGTCCAGCTCTGCCTGCAGAGGGGAGCTCAGGCCACCTCGTCCGCCCACCCACTGCATCCTCCACCCTCGCCACAGAGCCCGGGGCTGTGTGTGCAGACAGCCATCCTCCCACACAGCCAGCAGCGGTAAAGGGCCTCCAACGATCCCCACAGGCAGCGCGGCCAGGGTGACTGCAGTGACACAGACAGACATGGGGCCGAGGACAAAGCTGGGCTGCGGGGGGGGGGCCTGGCTGAACTCACCCCAGCCCTGGGGCATCCCAAAGCTCATTTCTGACATGGACACTGGCGTCCCCCAAGACCACTTGCCTGGACACCACACTGGCAGGTCAGTGACAGCTCCACTGAGGCAGCCCGCGGCCGGCCGGGGTCCACTGTCCACGAGGCCAGAGCCACTCCATGCTGGGCCAGGACTCGGCGCCTTCTGGATGTGGGCCCTTGGCCACGCAGATGGCCCAGAAGGGCCCCAGCAGCGGGCGGAAGGACCAGGCTCGGCGCCCGCCTCCTTGCACAGTCCTGGGCCAGAACCAGGCTCTGATGGGTGGGCTTCCCCGTGCAGAAGCTGGCCCCGCCCTGTGCCCCGAGGCCTCCTCCTTGGGGAAGCACAGCAGACACGCAGCTCGGGGGCAGCAGCAGCAGTGAGGTCTAGAGGTCTACGTGACTGAGGGCGCCCAGAGGCCTGGCAGAGCAGCATTCACTCCCGGGCCTGGCGCAGCCTCAAAACTCATGCGCGGTACAAGGCCCTGGACGCGCCTGGGCTGAGGCAGGTCCAGCCCTGCACCCGCCTTGTCTTGTACCTCCGTTTCCTGGCTGAGAGGGCGCCAGGGCGGGCCTTGCCCAGCAGCCACTGCCTCTGGGCCCCAGAGCTGTCCACAGGCTGGTGGGCAGTGGCTGCCACCCTCTGGCCGGCAGGGGGAGCGCCGGGCCAGGCCGCCCTGAGGCCCGGGCTGGAGCAGGAGGGAAGCAGTTCCGGCCCTTCCAGCTGGGCGAGGAGCAGCCGGCCCCTGGGAGCCTGAGTTTGATCCCAGTCACCTGCCTCCGGCTTTGTAACTGCTCTGCCCTCCCCCTCTCGGCCAGTGCAGCCCTCAGGGTCCCCCAGCCCCCATCTCCCCACCACCGTGGAAACAGGGATGGAAAAAGAAATACAGCATGGGCCTGGGTTTCCACCAGGCCCCCTGCGGCAGCACCCGCCCCCCACATGCAGAGTCCCAGGGAGCTGGCCTCCGCGCTCGGCGGTCGCACACTCTGCCCCCACATGGGAACCCGAACGGAGACTTGCAGGTGTTAGGGCCAAAGGGGGGTCTGTGTGCCAGCAACGGTGAGCGAGACGAGCCCTCGGGGCAGGGGGTGAAAGATGTTCCCATCACGTTTATTTATTTTTTTAATTTTTTAAAAGATTTATTTATTTATGCATACAAGAGCTGGGGCACAGGCCAGAAGTGCGGGAGTGAGAGGACTCACCAGAGACAGAGTGGGGAGCAGAACAGGCGGATCCACTGAAATCCACTGCTGAGGGAGCAGCGGGGAGACAGGAGAGGGCTGCTGTGCCCTGTGGGCAACTCCCTGGCCGGGGATGGACTCAGGCTGCAGTGGCTGGCGACTGCTGGACAGTGCTGACTTAACCCCTGTACCCCGGAAGGCCTGTTCCTGTGGGCTTCCACGCGGGGCATCAGGCTGTGAGTTCTCCCCACAGGCACTGTTCTGCCTGGCCCTGCTGCCCGATGTCTGCACTCCCGGGACCCTGGGCAAGGTAAAATCTCTGCCAGCATCCAGGCTGTCAACAGAAGTAAACGCCAGGTTTGGGGGCCAAGTCCAGAGGGGACCAGGATGACTGAACCCAGCGACAGCGCCCCAGCCATGTGCGAGGCTGTCCTATGGAGCCCCACCAGGAAGAGTCGCCCCAGAGGTCGCATTCCGGGTAGCATATACAGGCTGTGAGATGGCGTTCTCAGCGGAGGGGACTTGGGTCACATCGTCTCCACCTGAAGACAGAGGAGGAGGCCACCTGGAGCTGGTCTCTTCAAGAAAGCCTGCCAGGGCAGAGGCTGGTCCCTGAGTGAGACTCTTCTTGCCAGGAGAGACTGGCTGTGCTGCGGGCAGCAGATCCCTGTGCCCAGGACAGCCCTGTGAAAACGGATGGGGCTGGTCTGGGGTCCCCAGAGGGGTCTGTGTCACGTGGACAGGCAGAGCAACCCTCCAGGTGGCGGCTCCGGGTGTGGGCATGTTAGGGGAAAAAGGCAGTCCCAAAGCAAATTCCATACAGGCTTTGTGGACTCCACCCCCACCCCAGGCCAAAGCCAAAGACACTGGAACTCCAAATCCCATCACCACCAAAGGGAAGGTGGCTGGGACCTGAGGGTGGGGTTAAGCAGCCAGGTGGATATAAAAGGCAGACACGTGGGCTTTGGGGAATCCCCCATTTTTGGCTCTCTGCCAGCTCGCAGCGTCCGGCCAGCTCGGAGAGTGACTTTGGGTTTCCAGGTCGTCGGATCGGGTAGGACGCATGAAAGACTTTATTTCCCTATTTTCTCCCTGAGTTGTCCATTTTCCTTATTTCTTTTTCTCTTGTAAATAAACCTTTTATGAACCCTTTTGCGTGTGTCTGTAGTAGAGTATTCATAAGTCCCTTTAAAGCGCGCGGGTGAGGACCCACAGCCAGGAACCCGTTTAATATCGGGGTTGCTCTATAACAGGCACTGGGACCCGTCGGCCACCCGCTGGTCTGCTGAGGCCCTGGCTGAAGCTGCAGGCCCCTGCTGTGCCACACCCACTTAAAATCAGCTAGGGTGCCAGCCAGTGAGCTCTGCTCCACGCGGCCCTGGGAGCAGGACACGGCTCAGTCACCCCTCCCCATGGACTGTGGCCTCCTGCAGATGGCAACACCCGGCAGCAGTGGGCATGCCCCTAGCCAGCCCCACCCACCCGCTGGCCTCCCCTCCCACTGCGTCGCCGCTGCACAGGGACAGCCTGTCTGATTGGCCACAGACAAGGGCTGCCCGTGTTCTCCAAGCAGAACGTAAAGGCTGTTTTCACGTTAGACAGTCTCGATCCCTGTGTCCGTTTTCCGCATGGGCCGCGCTGGAAGTATGATCTCCCAGATCCCCGCTCGGAGCCAGACAGGAGCCTCCTCTGAGCCCGGCCCCGCCCTGGCAGGCAGGATCCAGCGGCCCCGCCCGCAGCTTCTTAGAGTCTCCCCACGAATCTTTAATGAGGCCTTTTCCATTTAGAAAGCCCTGCACGTTAGTGATTAAAACAATTAAACAGTATAATGACACAAAATGAAAAAGGCGCCCGTGGCGTTATTCCCTGGTTACGTGTGTACCCGCCTTCCGGGAACAGCAGGTCCACGGGCAGACAGCCGCCACACAAACACGAGCGCCCCCTCGCTCGGCCTGCTCCCCCGCGGCACACGCTGGCCCCGCACCGCCCCTCCCCCGCGGCTGTGTTTAGGGGCTCTTGCCCCACGGCTGCCTGACGAGACAGCACTGCTCTCTCTCCCCACTTTACGGGGGGACAGGAAGAATGGAAAGAACGTGAACTTGTCTTCAAAGCTCAGTTTTAAATACCCCTCACCTCCTCCTGGGTGGGGGTGTCCAGCGCTCCATAGCACCACTCCAGCACGCACCCCCATGGCGCCCCTGCAGAAACCCGCTGCTTTGCTTCCTCTACTGGTGAATAACGAGCTAGCCGTCCTCCGCCGGCTCCCACACAGCGGGTGCCCGAGCCCAGGTCAAGACAAACGTCAATTTAAAATATGTCACCATGCTCACGGCAGCGTCTGCCCTGCTCCGAAACTCACCGGGACGGCCTCCCCACCACGGCCAGCTGCCCCGCCCCGTCTTTCCCCTGCTGGGGGTCTGGGGTGGGCCTGATGACCCCGCACTGGCACAGGAAGCTGACTGTTCCCACAGACCGTGATGTTTGTGACGCTCTGCTGTGGTCTCCGCAGAGCCGCGGGCCGGGCATTGGCCCTCAGAGCTGGACATGTGCTGGCGCCCATTCAGCCTGGAGCTCGGGGGGCTCAGAGGCTAAGCGCCTTCTCCAAACCCACAGCGGGTGACCCTGGGTCCGGGCCGTGGTCCCGAACATCCCCACAGCTTCCTTCCCAGCGGCCGCCCCATCACTGTCTACACGGGGCCTCACGTCCTTCCGAGCCCTTTAGCCAAACTGACCTCACTTCACCCAGGGCACCTCCGCGCTTCAGCTATCTGGAGGCCTCCCAGCACCGTGCCAGGGGAGGAGAACTTGCCTCTCCAGGCCCTCCCCTAGCCCAAGGTGGGGTGGGCGCAGCCTGAGTCCTCTTGCCCCCCCCCCACCCGGGACTCCCCAGAGATGGTTCTCTCAAGGCCTGGCCCCTCCCCACCACCAGGCCGCCCACCGCTCCGGGGCCACCCCTCCAGGGCACACCGCCCACGGCAGCCGCCAATCACGACGCTCCTTCCTGCCATGAGTCCACCATGGCCGCGCGGAGGCCAGCCCAGCGCAGCCCGCCCCCCAAACAGCACCGCCCCGCGCGGGGAGCTGGCGGGGCAACCCTCGCCAATCCCAGGCAGGGGCGGGCCAGGGCGGGCTCTCTGGCCTCAGCTCAGGTGAGGTGCCGCCCCCGCCGGCCACACTGCCCTGGGCCCCGCCATGGACCCCGCGCAGGCTGCGCAGCTGGGCGAGGAGGTGGCACAGAAACTGCTCCAGTACCGGCAGGACGCGTCGGGCTGGACGATCTGCAGGGAGAGCGTGAGTGGGGGCGGGTCGGGGGCCTCTGCGCTGGGGCTGGGGTCCTGGGCCTCGCCCTCTCCTGGCGCCTTCCCTGCCGAGCAGGAGGTGCGCGGAGGGTCCCGGAGCTTGTTCCTCTAAAGACCACGGGCCGGGGGTCCCGTGACCCGAGGCGAGCGCTGTCCCCGGCCCGGGGGCCGCCAAAGCCACCTGGTAGGTGAGGGGTCAGGACTGGCCTCTGCTCGGGCCGCGGGGACACTTGTGTGGGCTCCACACAGCAGAGTTTTCAGGATAGCTTCGTCACTCAAAGAAACAAAACAGTCTATTCAGGGGCTCAAGCTCCTCTGCCAGTGAGGAGCCCCCACCCCACCCCATGGGGCTCGGCCTCCTCCCAGCGGGCCGCACCAGGCCTCTCCCGGCTCCAAAGTGATTCTGTGCCTTTTGACAGAACGGAGTTTCCGTTTCCTGGAGGCGGTCCGCGGAGTTCCCCGGGAGCCTGTAAGTGCTGGCAGGGCTGGTGGGAGGCGGCACCCCGCTCCCCGCCTCCCCTCCAGAGCCGCCTCTGTGCTAACTGAGCCGCTGCTAGCACACTCCCGTCCGTCTGTCCGCAGGCCGGGGCGGCGGGACCAGCTGCCCGCCCGGCCAGGCCGCCCGGAAGAGCAGGACAGACGCGCGGGGCGCTCGCCTCAGGCTCCTGTTTGTGTGCAGGTACCGCGGGGACGGCATCATCCACGGGCCCCCCGAGGCGGTGTGGGAGTGCCTGAGGCCGGCGGCTGGGGGCCTGCGGGAAAAGTGGGACGACAATGTGACCAGCTTTGAAATTGTCCAGAGCTTCACTGATGTAAACCTGTCCACACCCTCACCCAGGCCTGACGGAGGGGGCGGGACACCTGACGGGGGCGGGGGGGCGCGGGACACCTGGCCAGGGAGTGCCCCTCACCCTGGGCCCAGCACGCAGGGCTGTGGGGGCTGCCCGGTGACCAAGGGCCCAGCCCCAGGGCTGAGGGAGAGCCCAGGAGTGCCAGCCTCTGGGCCTCTGCCCCTGGGCCTGATGAGGTGGTGCAGGCTGTGGGGCCATGGGCCGGGTAGGTGGCACTTCTGGCCTGGCTCCTCGGGAGGCGTGTCCCCTCTGAGGCCTCTGGACGGTAGCCCAAAACACCACACAGGTCTGGGGTGCCCTCTAGACCCTGTCCAACCAGAGCCGCCGCTCCCCAGAGCGCTGCAGAGGTGGGTGGCCAAGGACGCACTGTCTCCGTCCTGCCCCCAGAGTGACTGAGTGGTGGCCGCAGCAGCGGAGCCAGCTGGATGGCACTGACCAGCAGCCACTGTCGCTTCGAGGGCGAGGGGCAGCCTCAGCCCAAACTGGAAACACGTTGGGGGCTGCGGGGTGTTTGGCAGGTGGTCTCAGTGGCCTGGTGCCAGGGCAGGGGGTGGACCCCGTAGGGCTCAGCGGGCGCCTTATGCCAGCTCACGACGGGGCGTCAGGGCAGTCACCTGCTCTCAGGATGGTGGGTGGGGCTGCCCTGTTTACACCGCACCCCAGCACCTGTGCAGGGGCTGCAGGCCCCTGCCCTCAGCTGCCCTCAGGTCAGCGGCCGTCCTGGGGCGGGAAGGGTGCCTGGGCTGGATGGTGGTGGCTGTGGCCACAGCTGGGCCGTCAGCCGGGTGGCCTTCATGGGCTGGCATTGGGGGGGCCTTACTCTGGACCCCTTCTCCGACACCAGGGGGTGAGGGGGGTGTCCCTCCCATCATGACTCTGGCCCCTCTGCCTGGACAGACTCTGTGTGTGAGCAGAACTGCCACCCCCTGGGCCGCCATGAGGCTCATTGCTCCCCGGGACTTCGTGGACCTGGTGCTGGTCAAGACCTACGAGGATGGCACCATCACCTCCAATGGTGAGTGGGGCCCCTGGAGGCCGGCCGGTGTCCAGGGGCTCTGGCCACTACATCCTCTACACCATTGCCGCCTGCTGTTGCAGCCATGGCCCAGCCAGCATGTGCCCGAGACATGCCGTGCCCCACCCACCAGGCCACTTCCCGGGGAGCCCACACCCTCGCACCCAGCCTGCCTCCCAGGAGGTCCAGGAGGGCTGGCCATGGTGGCCTGTCATTGGTGGAGACTCGAGGGGGCCGCACCTGCAGCTGATGTTCTGGCTGGCGTGGGGCGCTGGGACGGGGCATGTGTGTGCTTGTGGCGGGCGTTCACATGGGGTGGGGTGGGGCCTTGGCTGAGCTGCCCCTGCAGGCCCTGACCCCACTGCACCCATCTTCCAGCCACCCATGTGGAGCACCCGGCGTGCCCCCCACAGCCGGGCTACGTGAGGGGCCTCAACCACCCCTGCGGCTGCTGCTGTGAGCCTCTGCCGGGGTGAGGGCACCGGCAGGGACGTTGCGGTCTGGGGTGATGGCGACCTGGGTGGGGGCAGCGGTGACATTGGGGGGGTGGCGAGGCAGAGCGGGTGGAGGCCTAGTCCCGGCCCGGAGTGACCCATGGGGTCATTCCTGCAGAATGGATGCAACCCTGCCCCCTCCCACAGGGACCCCAGCAAGACACGCGTGGTGGCCTTCTTCCAGACGGACTTGGGCGGCTACCTCCCGCGGAGCGCGGTGGATGCCTTCTTCCCCCGCAGCATGGCCGGCTTCTACGCCAATCTGCAACGGGCAGTGAGGAAGCTCCAGGGCTGAGTCTCCAGAGCTGGAGCCGGCAGGACCTCCACACCCCAAGGGCCCGACAGCCTGACTCTGGCCTCTCCCGCCTGGGCTCTCGCTCAAGCCCCCGTGGCCGTGCATCTCCTGGGGTGCAGAGGTTCCTGAACCTGTGCCGCCTGCCCTGCCCGGACACCTCCCCTGGGGCTTGTGGCTGACCCAGCCGGCACCTGGGTGCCCAGCTCCAACCCTCTGGCCACCTCTGCTCCCTGTTTGCCAGAAGGACCCCTGTGGACACCACTGGCCTCTGCCTCCGTCCCCAGCTGGGCCAGGGCGCTGACCATGCATCAGGCTGGACGCTTTACAGCTTGGGCCTCAGGAATAGAGTCAGGGCCTCGCCCTGCTTCCTCTGAATGGCTGCTTCTCTTCCCTGCGAGTCGCCCTCAGGCTTGGAGCTGGAGCTGAGCCGGCGGCCAGCGGGGACATGTGGCTGGGATATGGGTGGGTCTGCACGGGTTGGGGGTGCTGCCTTGGAGCATGGGGCCAGCACCCCAACCCCTCTGCATGCTGAATGCCCCTGGTGCTCCCCCCACCTTCCTGGGAGGGTGTGCCACCCCCTCAGCTGTGCCTGCTGAGGCCACTGCCTCTGCAGGGAAGTTCCAGCTCGTCAGACTCAGCACAAGCAGAAAACCCTGTGGGCACTCACTGCCTCAGGGGGCCACTCGGGGTCCAAGAGAGAAGGTCCCTCCCTTGTGCTGAGCCACTGGCCTCCTCAAGAAGCCATGGCCCCTTCACTTCAGCTTCTTCAAATCAGCTGCCCGCCCCCAGCTGACCTGCGGCAGCGGCGCTGGGCCCCCAGGGGCTCCCAGCACAGATGGGGCCTAGGCACCCCTGCCTTGAGCAGGAGTCCTCTAGGCTGAGGCTACCAGGCCACCGGGGGCCCTGGGCTGGCACCAGGCTTGGTTGGGTGAAGCACCAGATGGGGTGTCAGGCTGACATTGGCCCTGTCTACTGTTTGCGCTCCTCTGAGACTGGGGCTTCTGGGGCTTCCGGTCTTTCACACATGGACAGACACCCCGCCCCCAGCAGAGTCCCGTAGGGACAGGAATGCTGAGAGAGGCCAGGCCCAGCAGTGGCTGCTGCTTCCCTAGGACCCACCCACTGTCCCGACCCCCGCATCCTCCCCCCACACCCACCCACACTCACCCTGTGGCTGCGAACAGGCGCCCGGAGCTCGTGATGAGATGGCCAGCTGCGTGGTCTGGTCCCTGCCCCAGGACAGCAGGGAGAGCCTGGGGCCGAGACGTAGGACAGTGGTGCCAGACATGAGGGACCTCAGGCGGAGTGGGCGGGGCACCCCGCAGGAGGCAGAGTCCTCACAGAAGCTGTGGCCGGCCCGGGGGCCTATGGACACTCATCTCCCACCTCCTCCTACAGGCAGTCACTGCAGTCACTGCGGATTCGCCTGTCCTGCGCATGGCGCCGAGCGTTCCCCACACGTCTGCACTCAGCCTGTGGTCCCGGGCTCCGCGGCACCAGGGCGGATGCTGCTGTCGGGTGTGGCCTGTCTGGTTGGGCTCCGCAGCCGCTCCTGGCCAGCCCAGCAGGTGTCCCAGGCAGTCCCGAGCACCACACCCATCTGGTGTGGCAGCGAGCAGCGGCGGGCGACCCCCTGCCCCTCAAGCCTGTCGCCCTGCCTCTGGCTACTCTGAGGGTCCTGCCTGCCGGCTCCACCATCCACTGGCTGCAGCCAGGGGTTTGCTCTGTGGAAACAAGGTGTCTCCCCAAATGGCCCATGACTCCCCCTCACCCCCACAGCCTAGGCAGGCTGGGTCCAGCTCTGACCGATGGGACAGTGGATATGAGGGCTCCACTGCCCCTGAGCACATGGCCCCACACGCGCCCACAGCAGGACATGGGCCACAGCGGTAGGCAAGTCCGTTTATTCACTGCACTGGAGCCACCTGTGAGCCCCCCGGCATCGGCCCACAGTGCCCCCTCTCTAGACACCCCTCACCGGGGGCACTCCTGGCCCTCCCGCCAGGCAGCCACAGCCCTTGTGGCCCAGCAGCGCGCAGAGCTGCAGGCTTCCGTATCTGTCCCTCTGTCCAGCTGGGCCTAGGGCGCGCTGGCCGCTGGGGCCCCCGGGGCCGGGAGGCTCCTCCTGATGACCACCTGCACCGGCCCGTCGGGCAGGGACTTGATGATGTTCCAGGCCTCCAGCCTCGTCAGGCCCCCCACGGCCGTGCCCGCCAGCTGCAGGATCTGGTCCCCGGGCTGGACCTGCGCCGTCTGCTCTGAAGACGCCCCTGGAGAGCGGAGGGCGTGAGAGTGGGCGGGGCCTGGGGTCACAGGCACCCAAGGACGGAGCCACCCCTGCCCCAGCAGGCCCGGCCTTCCTGACCCGCTGGCTGGTCACTCACCTTTTCCTCTTCTCGCATTTTAGATTCCTGCTCTTACTTCAAATTCACCCGCGAGGAGGGAATCCTCAAAACCTCCACCCGGAGCCGGGACCTGCCCGCCGCTCGCCCTCCCCACCCTGCCTGTGTCCTGCTGTCTCGGCCCCTCCTGCCCTGCCGCCCGGGGGGCCCAGGCCCCGCGGGCCCTCACGGCACCTTCGACAGCTCCCTCCTCCCGTGCCCACTGCTGGGGCTCAGCCACCTGCCCAGAGGGAGGAGAGGCTGAGGGCGGGGCTCACGGTCCTCACAGGAAAGCCAGGCGCCCGCACTGGGCTGCCCTCGCCCCGTCCTGGGTGAGCAGAGTCTCCGGCTTCAGCGCCGGCCGCGGCCCAGGCAGTGAGGCAGGCAGGGAAGCCGACTCGGCCATTGTGTTCACTTGGGGATTTCTGACTTGATTTTGATTTGAGAACTATGCCGAGTGCGTATCGCCCCTCCCCCACCACCCCCCTCTCCGCCCGCCTCCTGCCTGCCCTTGGCCTGCCCCGGCCCCCGGCCCCCACCGGCCCACCTGGGCCCCGCCACTTGGACCTGGCATGGGCGGGACAGGGGTCTGAGCCCAGCAGAAAGGGCAGAGGAGGCCGGAGCCAGCTGAGACCCTGAGGGAGGGCTGGCCCAGGGGCCCGGGCTGGTGGGGAGCATCTGTGGCTGGACGACCCTCAGTAGCCTTGGGGCTCAGCCGCCCACGGAGGTGCGGAGGGGCAGAGGGGCGGGTGCAGCCTCACCTTTGAAAATCCTGTGGATGGTGAGAGGCCTGTCTCCCTGAAGGGAGCCCCTGCCCCCTTCCAGGCTGAAGCCCAGGCCAGCCGCTGTCTTCTCCAGGGTCACCGTGTGGATGGCGGCCTCTGCTGCGCAACACGGCTCATTAGGGGTGCTGCGGGGCCCCTGTGCCCACCACCCAGCCCCAGGGCCCAAAGGTCCGGGCGCCTGCCCAGTGAGCTTACCAGGTCCTGGGGCACTGTCACTGGCCGCAGGGGCAGAGGCTGCAGCAGGGGCGGAGGCGGCGGGGTCGGGCGCGGCCTCGGAGGGCCTGCGGGTGACCACCACAGCCTGCCTGGGCTCCCGTGCCTGCCGAAGGGTGGCCAGCGCATCGCTGTGCGAGGCCCCCTTCAGGGACTTGCCGTTGATGGAGAGGACCTCGCTGCCCTTCTGGATGGTCCCTTCCTGGGAGGCCAGCCCGCTCGGGAACACCCTGTGGACCTGCACGAGCGGGCGTCCGTTGTCCGCCCAGCTGACCTGGTTCCCATCCCCGCCTGCACCCTCCCGCCATTGCAGGATGGCCCGCCCAGCCCTCCCCACACGCCCGCCCCCGGCACCGCGGGCCATGGTCCCCCACCTGCTCCCCACCCACCAGGAGGACTCTGTATGGCCTGTGATGTCAGGACCGCCGGGCAGGCAAGACGCTGGACGCGCTGCCTCTTGCTGCCCCTACTGCGTCTCAGGCCCATTCGAGAAACGCCTCCCCAGGAAGCCAGGCGTCCCCAACCTGGCCGTGAACCTTTCTCCCCCGCCACCCTAGCCCTTCCGCTGGGCTGGGGGATCCACGTCTCATGTCTGCACCTCGGCTGCTCTGATGAGTCAGCCTCACTGCAGACTGGGGGGACCCAGGTGGCGAGCGGCCACCCCCCAAATCTGCTACAGGACAACCAAGTCACCCAATGCCCCGGTCAGCCCCGCGTGGGGAAACTGTGTCCTGGGGGCAGACGGGGTTGGCTCCTCCCGGCCAGAAGCCTCAGTGCTGCCCACGCGCCCTCGGTGCAGCCCCGCCCGGCCTCCCCACTCTCCCCGCGTCGGAGTGGACCAGAGAGCCCGGACACCGGGCACAGGCCAGGTTTGGGGCGGATGCTGCTCAAAATGCACGTTGTCACCTCGCCTCTGAGCGGCCAGGGGCCCAGGGTGGCCAGCTCGGTGGAGATCCCCTGCCCAGGGCCACGCAGAGACACAGCTCCTCTCCCGCACGCCAGCCCCTAATGCAGCTGCGCCCCCTGCCCCCAGACCTGTGGCTTCTCGTGGCAGGAGCTCACAGGGCAGGGAGGGCCCAGTGCCAAGCCGGAGCCATGCTCATCCTCAGCGGGCAGGGAGGCTGCAGCTGGAGTGCGCCCATTCGGGGGCCACTGTGGTTCAGAGAACTGGGGCCCATGCAGTCGCCCTGGGGTGCAGCGGCCAGCACCCCCCAGGCCTGGGCCAGAGGAGACGCAGATGCCCCTGCCCGTCCCCGGATTCGGCAGGTCCAGACAATGGGCTGCGCCAGGAGACTGGGCCCCTCCTGCTGTGCCCAGGAGCCCAGGGCTCCCCCTCCCCAGGCCTCATCCACCACTCGCGTCAAACCCCCACTGGGCACTCACCGTGACCACCTTGCTCTCCAGGTCTGCACCGCCCGCCAAGCTGAAGCCCAGGCCAGCCCCCTCTTCCTTGTGTAAGACGGTGACGTGGATGCTGTCGAGCTGCTACAGAGGGACAGACGTGGGTCAGTGTCCTCTGGCCACCGCGGGGCCTGTTCCCAGTGCTGGCCGCTGGCCACCATGACTCAAGCCCCGCCCAGCGCCAGGTCCCCTTGCTTGGCAAGCCCATCGGGGTCCTGAAGGGTGGCCGCGCTTCTGGAGCCAGGGGACTTGGGGGAGTGTGTCCAGCCCCCGCGTGTGTCCAGTCCCTGCCTTGCCCACTGTTCCCTCATGCCTGGGTGGGCAGAGCAGTGGAACATGATCACCCAGGGCTTGGGGTCAGCCAGCTGGGCTCTGCAGAATTGGTGGCCTCTCCTCTCCCGTCACTCGGGGGACACAGCAGTTGCAAGGATGGCCAGTGGCCACCTCCGCCCAAAGCCACCAGGAGTCCACCCTCACCGCGGCCACTCCCCTATGGGCACCTGGGGGGCCACACCGGAGTGTGAGGGGAGTGGGGCTTTGGCATGACAGAGAGGGCGTGGGGCCTGCCAGTGCTTCTCTGTCCCCTGGCACTTCCCCTGGATGGGTATCCTCTGCCCGTCCCCTGAGCCCAGGGACTGCCGTGAGCCAAGGAGCGAGCCCAGCCTGGACTCCAAGGGCCCCCCCCCATCTCGTCCTAAGATGACGCAGGATACACACAGGCAGGGCGAGCAGCTGCAGATAGAGAATCCCTACCGGCGCGGCGGGCCGGGCAGGCCCAGGGCAGCACTGACCTTCAGCGCGGCTTCATCCAGGCCCTTCACCTCCTCGACCAGCTCCTTGAGCTCCTCGGCACTCAGCAGGGAGAGGACAGACTGGCCGGGCAGCGGGGAGCAGGGGTCCCGGTCCTCGGCCGCTGCGGGCTCCTTGAGGCCCTCCGTGTACTCCCGCAGCTCCGAGAGGCTTCGGGGAGAGGCGCAGGAGACAGCGTTAACCAGAGGGGACGCCGGCCGGGCGCAGGCCAGCGTGGGGTCCGCTGAGCAGCACGGAGAGGAGCGCGTGGCCGCGGCCCCCAGCAGCCAGCCTCGGCACCGCCCCCGCCCCCTGAGGCCCAGCCTGCGGCGGGCACTGTCTCCGGGCACAGCCCCGTGCTGGCCCTGACGACGGCTCCAGCCCTGCCCCCGGCCAGCGGGCCGGGGCCCCTCCAGGGTTGGCAACTATTTCTGGTGCAGCCGCTCAGCTTTTGCATCCCAGTGTGGGGTCAGCAGCGGGGACGGCCCCTCCCATCACCAGCCCCCCGGCCCACAGGTGAGGGGCCCTCAGCAGCTCCTCTGTGGTGGGGCAGGCATCCTCTGCCCATCCCCCAGCCCAAGGCCACAGCGGCCAGCGCTAGGGGAGCACCGGGTGACGCCGCAGACATCTCTACCCCTGTTCTGCACCAGGCCCCAGGCTCCCACTTCCACCGGAGAGAGGCTGGGGGAGCAGCAGCCTGGGCGGTGGGTCACCCCACGGGCCCCCAGGCTGGGCAGAGCCATGGCAGATGCCTCCCGGTGCTGGCAGGAAGGTCAGAGGCGCCTTGGCCCCAATCTCCAGGTGGCCCCGGGGCCAGCCCCACCCTCACCCTCACCCCAGGGCAGGGAGCAAAACACCTCCATACAGAGGTGTACTCACACTCGGCACTCACAGACACACCCGGACACTCACACCTGGGACTCACACTCACACCCGGGCATTCACACTCACACCCTCAGATACACTCACGCCGCCCCTTGCACACACACGCTGGGAGGCCAGGCGGCGGGTCCGAAGGGAGCAGGCCAGGCCGCGTCACTCACTTGAGCGAGAAGCCTGTGTCCGGGGAAGGGGAATAGGCTGCGCGGGGGGCTGCTGGGTCTTCGCTGGCCGAAGAGGCCCCACGTGGGGGGCTGTGTGGGCCGAGGGCCCCCGCGAGGGCGGAGGGGAGGCACAGCAGGGAGCGCATGACGGCCGAGGACACCTGGCTGCTGATGGAGTAGAGGCCGCCGCCCTCCTCTTCCGGCTTCGCCTCGGCGGCCTGGGGGCGGCTCAGGGGGAAGCTCCGTGCCCGCTGGCCAGGTGGCTTGACCCCCGCGCCCACCCCCAGTTGTGTACAGAGCAGCCTCAAGGGGGGCTCCTGGTCGGGGGCAAGGGCTTTCTGACCGAGCTGCACCCCCAAGGACGGGGACCCTGTCCCCCGGGGGGCACTGGTCTCCGAGTCTGCGGGGGGGCCTGGGGGCTGCAGCTCCTGTGCTGGCTGCTGCGGCTCAGCATCGGGGGGCACCCCTCGCATCGAGAGGACAGGAGCCCGTGCGGGGGGCTTGGCCGCTGCCCCTGCGGAGCCGGAGGGCTGGAGGCTGAGTCTCTGGGCGCACCTGTCGGGCAGCTGCGAGGCACCGAAGGTTTCGAAGGAGCTGATCCTCTGCCTGATGGAGGTGGCAGCCCGGGAGGTTGGCCCTGGGGGCTCCCTGGTGGAGGGGGCTGGCAGGCCTGGGGAGCCCGGGGCGGGGAGCCGCCAGGGTTCGGTGGCCCTACTCCTCAAGCCTTTCAAGCTTTGGCGAAACCAGGCTGGCTTGGGTGCCACGGGGGGGCCCTTCTTCACCGTGCTACCCTCGGTCGACTTGGTGATGTTGGGGGCCCCCCCCAGGGCGTCCGGCGTCAGCGGAGTCCCATCCCGGAGGGCCTGTGTCCCAGACTCTTCTCCCAGGCTGGCACTGGGCTGCAGCGGTGTGTGGCCCTGGCTCTCCCCCATGAAGGGGCTGAACAGGTGCTTGATGCAGTCGGAAATCCGAGCCCAAGGGTCTTCGGGGCCGGCGTCAAGGCTGTGGTCCGTGCGAGCCTGCCGCCGGAGGAGGGGCCGGGCTGGGGACGCCTGTGTGGCTGCGGGGACAGGCCGGCACGTGCGTCACACTCAGGGTGCCTCTGCCCCGAGTTCAGTCTCGAGGCTCTGGAGGGGGAATGGGCAGAAGCAGGGGACCCCTCACGGGTTGAGCCAGCGCCCCGGACCATAGGCAGACCCAGGGCCAAAAGCAGGAGCTCCCTCATGGCATCAGGGTCTGCAGGACCACCCGCCCCTCTTCAGTATGCAACATCGGGGACCCCGACCCCTGGGGCGACCTGTCAGCTGAGCCAGGCCAGACCCTGCTCCCGGTGCCCGCGGCCCTGCCCGGTCCTCCCAGAGCGCTCATGGAGAGCAGGACAGTTAAGGCAGTGCCCCTCCCTTCCACCGCAAAGCCAGCGTTCACGCCTGGCCCCCAAAGCTCGGCCCAATGTGCCCTCTGACAGCGAGGGGAGGTGGCACCTTCCCGACCCCAGGTGGTCCCCAGGCGGCAGACCACCAGGAGGACCCTGCACGTGTCCTGTGAGCTCACCCGCCCCCAGGTCCTGGCCAGCACACTCAGCTGGGCGCCCACCCTGGGGCTGCCAGGAGGATCCAGGAAGAAGGCCCGCAGGACCACCCCGTAGTCTGGATGGCCTTCCTGGACCCCCACGCCTGACCAGGCTCTGATGTCATCATCAGGACGCTCCGGGCCTGGGAGGACTCAGGCCCAGCCCGCTCCACAATCCTGGGCCAGGCCAGGCAGCACCCGGCTTTCCTGCAAGTCTGAGTGACCCGCAGCCGATCTGTGGGCAGAGGTGCCGCCCCAACTCCCGGGGGCATGGAAGGACGGCCCCCAGCGTTGAGGCCAAGTGGACACGTGGCCAGGCCTGACCACCTCCCGGCTCAGCTGAAGCTGCCTGCCCTGCCAGGGCACCATCTCTCCTGCCCTCTGCCTCCACGCTGGCCTCCGGGAGGCACTGCCGGCATCAGGCATGGAGGACTGCAAGCCCTGCCTGGCCGCCCCCGGCCCTTGCCAGCCCTGCAGCTGGGTGGATGTGGGGGACCCACAGTGAGGGCTGCACCAGCCCTGCAGGAGGCGCCTAGAGCTGGGCCAGCCTGTCAGGCCCGGGGGGGGCGGGGGGGCCCAGGCACCTGCCCTTGGGACTCGCAGCACCCCACCTCACCGAGCCTGCCCCGGCCGACTGGCCTGCCCACCCAGAGGCACGTGCCACCTCCGGGGGCCGTGGGGGTCAGCCCGCCACCCGTTCCCAGCCCTCTACCCCAGCCTGTCCTCTGTCCCACACCTGGCTCTCTGGGCCCCGGCCCTCCCCACCCGCTCTCCCCACGCCTCTCACGGCTCAGCGCCAGCTCCGGAAGTGTTGCCCGGCACCTCTGGGGGCTGTGGCCCTCTGCTCCTGGCTGGAACCCACACTCCTTCCAGCAGCTTCTGTGCCTCCCACAAGGGCCTGGGCGCTCCAGGCGCACCCAAGGAGGGCCACGGCCCCCCATGGGGAGCCCCCTGGGTCATCGGGCATGAGAGTGCTGGCGTTGCCCCCAGAAGCAGCTGGAGGCAGGGAACCCCATGTCCACTCAGCAGCTGACCTCCAGGAGGGCCTTTCTCCCCGCCCACCCCAGCACGGCCCGCCCACCCCGCCCTGGCCAGCCCCCATCCGCCACCTTGGTGCAGGGATGCCTCAGGCTCTGCTGTGGCACCCATACCGACCCTCACACCTGCACCCATGCCGCCGGGGCCCTGCCTGGGGCCTGCCTCCTAGAGCGCGGTGCCCACCTGGGCCGGCACCCCTCCTGCCCGGAGGGCCCGGTGTGACTGGTGGCGTCCCGGCTGCAGGTCCCAGGCAGCCGCCGGCCTGAGGGGTGCTCCCAGCTAGGTCTCCCAGCGGCGGCCGCCCCAGCGGTGAAGGCTCGCTGGCTTCCTGTGGTGTAAACAGGAAGAAGACGTGTCAAATGGTGCCTCCTGCAGCGAGAAGAAGGCTGGAGGGTCCTGTGCCCTTGGGCCACCTGCACCCCGACCAGGGGGCCCACGCCCCCCGCGCCCTGTGCCCCGCCCCTGGACTGCAGGGTCTTCTGGGTGGGGAGGCACTGCTCCCTGCCACGCTCCCAGGAGCCCCCAGAGGGGGACAGAAGAGCCAGAGCCGGGGCAGACACTGCCATCTTGGCCTCAGGGTGTGAGGCCGAGGCCACATCCCCGTGCTGGCCAGCCAGGGCCTGGCGCCAGTGCCTCGGGGGTCCCTGAAATGAGCGGGGTCTCAAGCCGTGTCTCGGGCACAGAGCCGGTGGGCGAGGGGCCAGGAGGTGGGGAGGACGCACACGGGCTCAGCGGGCAGCACGTGCACCTGACCGCCGGGGAAGCTTGAGCTGATTTTCCAGAAGGGAAGAGAAAGAGCCTTTGGTTGAAACTATCCCAAAGGTCGTTTGGGTTGCGGAAGTTCAGTTCCCTTGAGTTGCAGTAAGCGAGAAAGACTTGGGGGTGTCAAAGCAGAGCAAGGAGGGCCTTGGGACCCCAGGCAGAAGGAAGTGTGGGGGCGAGGAGAGGGCCACAGTGGGGGAGGGGGAGGGGCCCGCTAGGAGGCTGGGGCCAGGCCTGGAGAGCAGCAGCAGAGGCTTCCTGTCTGGTCCAGCTGCACCCCCACCCCGAGTCCCTACCCCCCAGAGGAGTGGGGGGCTGGGCAGGGTCTGCGGCCTGGGGCCCTGCAGAGGGAGAGGAGCAGCTGGCCCCTGATGCTGGAGGGGGCAGGGCAGGGCAGGGCCACAGGCCGCTTCTAGAAAGTTCCCTGCAGAAGTGCTTCCCCCTCCTGCCGCCTCCCTTGGGGACACTCCCTCCCCCACCTGATCTGCCCCTGGCAGGCTAGGGACCAGCAGACACGGTGGGGGTGGGGGAAGGAGGGTGGGAGTGGGGGAGGGAGGGTGGGGGTGGGGGACCCTTCCCCCCCACCTCCCCCTCCCCGTCTCCAGGGGCAGAGCCAAGCCCCACGCGCTGGGCCAGGCTTTCCCAGCCTGCCATCCTGGCCTCTAAGGCGGCCCGAAGGATGAGAGGTATTTTCTCAAGGAAGGGGGGAGCACAGCTCCGCCCGCCCCCACAGGCACATCCGCACCTTCTGTGCCTCCGCACCTCGTGACCTGGCTTCCGCACCCCCAGGCACACCCCCACCCCCACTGCATATGGCTAGTGGGGCCAGGGGCAGCTGTGGCCAGCAGCACCCTGCAGAGGGAACTGGGCGCTTCCTTCTGCTCCAGCCGAGGGGCCCCAGTGCTCCAGAGAGCACAGGCCGCACCTGCACCATTAGGGGCGGGCAGGGACTACCCAACCAGAGGAGTGGGGGGCATGAGGGAGGCGGCACAGCCACAACAGGCAGTGCCTGGCCCTGCTTGGTGCTGCCCCTCAGGCGCCTGGAGGCCGGGGAGGCCAAGGCCCAGCCCCCAGACCGCAGAACAGGAGGGGGCGGCGCGACCGGGCCCTCTCCTCCCACCCCACCGCGGCCTCCATCTCAGGGAGACTGAGGGTGACCCTCATGGTGGGGGATGGGGGACACAGGGGAGGGGGAGAGGGATGAGCCGCTGTGGCCAGAGCCACGCTCAGCTGGATCTGCCCAGCCTCAGCCCCTTCCCTGCAGCAGCCCCGCGCTCGGCTGAGCCCCCGACCCAGTGGCCGTCCTGAGGCCAGTGCGGTGGCCACCGCGACACCACGGCCAGGCCCTGCCTTACCTGGGAGCGCCCAGAGGGCCCGGGGGAGTGTCTGTCTCTTCCGGGCCCTTCTGAGGGTCGCTGTCGCACTTGAAGTACTTCCGGGGTGGAGGCTTGGGCTTGGAGGACGTGGGTTTTCTCACCAGAATCTCAAAGGACTTCTTTAGCCTCAGCGGGGGCGGGCCGTCCTGGCTGGCGGGGGGAGGCGGGCTGTCGGGGGGCAGCCTGGACGACCCCCTGGGCATCGTAGGGGGCTGCTGCCCGCGCTCCTGCCCTAGGGGCAGGCTAGTGCCTAGCACATGGACGTCCAGGTCCGAGGGCGGCTGCTCCCCGCCGCTGCAGGGGCTGCCCCCAGGGGACCCTGACAGGTAGCTGCTGTCGCTGCTGGAGCGGGCCATGGCCCTCTGGGCCCTGCGGTGAGGGGGCGCCCAGCTCTTCTCTCTCTCCGTCACCAGGGCCGGCCGCCCATGCCAGCTGCTGTCCAGTCTTTTGACACCTGTCAGCAAAGAGCAGGGGACCCCATGGTCAGGACCAGGCCCCCCGGTCAGCATCAGGCCCCCAGCCAGCACCAGGCCCCGCCCCAGAAAGCACCAGGCCCACCGGTCAGCACCAAACCCGAGCTCTGGCGCGTCGACACCCGTGAGGATGAAGCGACCCCCTGTGCTGGGCCCGCCCCAAGCCCTCCCTGCACCCCGAGCTGAGACTGGGTGAAAAAGTCTCCTGCCCCCCCCCCCACTTTTTCCTAAAAATGTACATAAAAATTTATTGTGAAGTTTGGGCGAAATGGTACACAAGTTAGTTCAAGGTCTGAGCTGGGAGAAGGCGGCGCGGGCCAGGCGTGGCATCACATGTTATTTCTAAGGAGCCATGACCGCGGGGGGGGGCCGCTCCAGGCGCGGGTGTGGCCGGCGCAGCACAGCGGGGCTGCGGGTCACCGGCGTCGCACAGGGGACACGGCTCTTCTGATCTGTCTCCGGCAAAAAGCAGTAGCGTGGGGTACCGCGGGCCACCGCCCACCTTCCCGGCCGAGTCTGGGGGCACGCACACACCCTGCCCGCCCGCCCGCCCGCCCGCCACCGCCTACCTTCCAGGCCCCGCGGGGGCCGGTCCTTTCCCAGCCTCACCTGCTCCACGGCCTGGGCCACGGCCTCCTGGAGCTGCTGCTCGGAGACCTGGAGGGGCCCCGGGGTGGCTCAGACACCAGACGCTGGGCAAGTCTCGCGGCCCCGGCCGGCTCTGCCCTCCACCCCCTTGCAAGTAACTGGCCATCCCTTGGGAGACTCCTGGGGGGCTCCAAGCACCGCTGGTGTCCTCCAGGAGGTCCAGAGTCTGCAATAGTGGGGTCCCCATGGGAGGAGGAAGGGAGGGAGCCCCTGGACTGGCTGGACGGGGGGCCCTTGGGGTGGGGGGAGGCGATGTGTGCCTGCAGAGGTGTGAGCCTGCACCCCAAACCACGGTGTCACAGAACACTGTGGCCTCAATTAAAAATTACAAAATAAAGTGAAAAACATAAGCTAGAAAAACAGAACAAGGATAAAATCTTAATATGAGCAAACTCTGGGTTCGTAGGTGCTCCCCACCGGCTGGGAGTCGGGGGCCCCTGCCCGCTGCCGTCCCCAGCTGGACGCTCAAGGCTGAGTCCTGGCCCACACCAGACTGAGGGGCAGGGAGGTGACACCGCCAGACCCCAGAGCCCCGGGCGTGGCCCCGCCAGCCTGACTCGGTCCCAGCCTCCCGCCACCTCTCAGCCGCCCAGGCCCGTCCTCCAGGAGGAATCGGGGGTGGCCCTGCCATCCTGGGCCCCTTTTCCAGGGCGGGCTCTTCCCAGCTGCTCTGCTCATCCACCTCCCCCGCACCTCCTCACCAGTGAAGCCCCTCGGGTGCCCACTCCACCCCCTCTCCTAAGCCAGGCCTGTCACCTCTGCGAGTCTGTCCACCGCAGACACTAGCCACCACCACCCCCGAACAGGTCTTGGAATTTTGGCGCCAAACCCAGGCGGTAGAGTCTGTTCTCATTCCTCTCCTATTCCAACATCAGGGCGAGAGAGGGTGCCCGGCAGGGAGGGCGCCCGGGCAGGAGAGGGCGCCCGGGCAGGGACGGTGCTGCGGAGTCACCTGTGCATCCGGGTGCCGGCTGACGATGATGGGGACGGGCCCGGGGGCGCAGTGGCTCAGCACGCCGTAGGCCTGGTTGAGCGTCAGGCAGTGCACGGGGGACGCGTTGATCTCCACGATCTCGTCACCACACCTGGGAAGCACGCGGGCGGGTCCGTGGGCGGCTGAGGCCACACTGGGGCCCCTCCGGGCCAGGCTCTCCCCGCTCACACCCCGCTGGGGGCGGCGTGTCCGGTCCCCTCACAGGAGCCGGCGCGGGCTCAGAAACGTCCTGGGAAGGGGTGGCGGCAGGACGCGGGCAAGTGGAGCACCCGCCTCTAACTAGGCCGGGCGGACCCATCCCCCCCGCACCCCCACTACCTCCTCCCCGCCCCGCCGCCCACTGAGGGCCCGGTAAGGCCGTACCGGAGCCGCCCGTCCAGGTGTGCCACGGAGCCCGGGGCGAGGGTGTGCACGAAGATGCCGGAGATGCACTGGAAGTAGGGGACGCTGCACAGGCCTATGCCCAGGCCCACACCGGCCTCTGCGGGGGGCAGAGCGGAGCTGAGCTCCCAGCCCACTGCGGGCCAGGCCAGGCCGAGTCCCTGCGCACCAGAACTCGCCTGGGGGCGCGGGGGGCGCCGGCTGTCCACGGACAAGCAAGCCTGGGCCCATTGCCGGCCGTCGGCACGAGACCACCCAGTCTGCCCGGCCTGGGAGTGGGAGAGCCCGACACTCACCTTTCTCCAGCGAGATCTCCACCAGGACCCTGCGGTTAGGCTGGGGCTGCCGGGCGGGCACCGGGCTGGCAGGGGCCGGGGGGCTGTCCTTGGGGGCACAGGTGCCCGAGCTCACTGAGCGGCACAGCGGGGGTGACAGGGAGCTGCCCAGCGAGGGCGGGGCCGTCAGCCGGGTGCGCACGGTCAGGGTGAGGAGCCCCTTTTTGGCTTGCTGCAAGGAAAGAGGGAGGATAGGCCCTCGGCGGCCACGCAGGGCAAGGCAGGGCAGGGCAGGGGGCCTGTGGAAAGCGATGCAGCCTTGAGGAGAGGTGGCCGTGTGCCGCGTGCCCTGTGGGTGCTGGCGTGTGTGTGCCGCGTGTACCCTGCGTGTGTGCTGCGTGTGCCTTGTGCGCCCTGCGTGTGCCGTGTGTATAGGGCACGTGAACATGCACATACGCGCATGACTTATAGTCGCGTTGAGTAAACTTTGGACTTGATAAACAAGAGGGAGACTGAAATCTTCCTTGTAACACTTGTCCTAACAGCACAGAACACATGTCCATGTGTCGCTGTAAAATCGAGGGGTTCACACCAGCTCCATGCACCTGGGGCTCCGAGGCATCCTCCACGGCCAGCGCACTGTGCTGGGGCCAGGCTGGAGCGCCAGATTGGCACGGCCAGGGCGGGTCGGGGGTGGGGGGTGTGGGGAGGGGAGAGGGGCCTGGGCTGTTACCCAGATGTTCACCTTGAATTTCTGCAGAGCGTCCTGATGGGTCAGTCCAGCCATCGACTCTCCGTTGAGTTCCAGAATTTCATCACCTGTCGGGAGGGGGAGAAACTGCGCTAAGAAGTGGCTGCCCAGCCCGGGACCTGAGCCCGCCTGGGGCCTGCGCTGTCCCCCACCACGCCCATGACCAGAGTCTTCTCAGCCTGCCCGCTTGAGGCCAGTGGCAGGGCCGGGCGAGGTGCAGTGGGCCTGGCCTGGGGCATGGCCTCTCCGCTCGCCTCTGCTTGCGCCTCGTTGGCCCCACCTCGGCCCCCACATTTGGGTACAGCCCCCGGCCCCGTGCCTTGACTCAGCAGCTAAATGCCGCTCCTGCTAGCTCCCTCCTCCCAGCTGCTCAGCCCCCACCACCAGGCCACACTCCAGGACCCGGTCTGCTCAGGCCTGGGCGTGGGTTTGCCCCCAGAAAAGCCGCTGTCCAGCGGGAAGCTCAGCCTCAGAGCCCCCCTCCTCCGCGCATGGCATGCCCAGGAGCAAGCTTCTGTGCCCAGACGCTCTCTTGGCCCCACGGAATCCGCTCCTGCTCCTTCCCGGCACGGTTTAGCTCAAACGGGAGTGGTTGTACCTAGTGCCCAGCCACACACCGCACGGCCCAGCTTCTGGCCTGGGTTTCAAGGCTGGGGTCCTGGGCCATCTGGGGTTCATCTGAGCCCAGCCCAGCTGCTAGCAGCAGGCCCGGTCAGCCTCCAGACAGCAGGCGACAGGGCTGAGCCGCGTGGTCGCCCTTCTCTGGAGCCGCCCGGGCAATGAGCTGGTGCGGATAGGGAAGGTGTGGGGGCTTGTGGGGCAGCCTGACCCTCAGGAAGGAGATGGCAGGGGATGAAGGGCAACGTGTGTGTCCCGGATTCCCAGTGGAGGGCAGGTTACAGCAGAATCCAGAGGTGCCTGGTGTGCGAGGGCTGATGGTGCCAGGTAAGTGAGGGCTGACGGTGCCAGGTATGTGAGGGCTGACTGTGCCGGGCGTGCAAGGGCTGCTCCAGAAACACTGTTGCGGTGGCTCAGTTCCTCCCCAGCCTCATGCCACGGGGCCGCATCTGCCGGGCCACAGTGCGGGACTGGCCAGGCGCCTTGACCATGCACCAGGCGGGCGCCATCCTGTCCCCGTGTCGAGCCCCAAGCCCAACTTCCAGCCCCGCGGCAGAGGTAGCTCGGCGGGCACAAGGCAGCACAGGGACGGCAGAAGCCAGGCCTGGCTCCCTGAGTCCTTGCAGCGGCCACTACCCGAGGCCAGACCCCGGAGCCCCACGGGGGCGACACCAGCGCTGACAGAAACTCATCAGGTGGAAGCCAAGGTGGACGGCTCCTGGGGCCGCTCCTCTCCCCACCGCTGATTCCAGCCTAGCAAAGCGCAAAAGACGGAAACGACGCTGCAGTTTCAAGAGCCCAAGCCCGTTTCTCCTCCTCGCTTGCTCCACCTGCTTCTGGAAGACCTCTGATCCCACTGCTCCCTCGCCAGTCTCTCCCCGCGCAGCTCTCCCATGCCGGGGACGCTCCTGACGGCCAGCGCCACGGCTGGACGGCGCCACCTAGCGGCCCCCTGGCCCCGCCCGCCCCTCACTGGGCAGCTAGAGCCGGGCCTCCCCCCTCATTGCTCACTCCATGGAGCATATCACCTGCCTCTGCTGCACCAGCCAGAGACTTCACCTTTCTCTGACCCACCCATCGCCACGCCTCCCCTCCGCACTGCCCCCTCCCGGCCACTCCCCTGCTCTCTCCACAGCTCGCAGGGTCCGGCTGCTCCTGGGGAGCCCGGGCCGCCCGCCCGGCCACCAGGCACGCTAGGTCCCGGGTCGGAGTGGGTCCTGCCAGCCCTTGAAGGACAAGCCCTGGAGGCGCGAGATGCCGCGGGCGTCCAGGGCCGGCACAGGGATGACGCTGCTGCTGGACGCCCCTGCCCAGGCCTGTTTCTGCTTCATTCTCACGAGTCGCAAAGACTCAAAGCTGCCCTTGACTTTGCTTAGCACATCCACTTCGGAGCACGGAGGCCCCCCTCGTGGGTGGGGGCATCGCCAGGTCCAGAGGGCCTCAGGCAGCCCAACACGTCAGTTAGCAAAGGGTCAGGCTCCAGCTAGCCCGGGGCCAGCCAGCGAGCACAGGGCGGGGTGTGGGGCAGGGAGGACGGAGGGACAGGACGGGGAGATGGGGCAGGGAGGGGAGACCAGGAAGTCACTTCTTTAATCACTCCACGGCCCTGGATCCCCTGCTCATGGCCGACTCCTCCTTGAAGCGGGCCAATTCCTCGGGCCCAGCCTCCGCCCAATAATCCCTGGGTTGAGGGTGGCACCGGGGCGAGGAGACACCCTGCTGTCTGGGGCGGGTGCCAGGAAGGCACCACAGGCAGCGCTGCTCCTCACTCCTCCCGGGAAGGCTGGAGGCGTGAGGTGGGCGGCCGAGGGCCCATGGCTGGACGCAGGCTCTTCCCAGGGCTCAGCGGGGCGTCTGTTCTGGGGCCCGAGGCCCCCGCACCCCGCTGCCCAGCCCCGGCTGCGGCCCCCAGCTGCGGTGGGGTGGGGAGAGGCCGCGGGCAGCCGTGCAGGGGTGCCTGCCCCGGAGCTGGCCAAAGAGGCAGGCTGAGGTGGCAGGTGGGGCTCCAGAGCAGGGCTTGGCCTACCTTCCTGCAGCCGGCCGTCCGCCGCCGCAGCGCCCCCCGCGAAGATGGTCTTGACATAGATGCCGATGGGACCGTAGATGCTGTCCTTCCCCCCGACGATGCTGAAGCCCAGGCCCTGGAAGAGGGAGTGAGGAGCGTCCACACACGCCCTGGGCTGGCCCCCGAGGCCCCCGGCCGGGACGTGGGAAGAGGCGGCCGTCTCAGGAGGGAACAGAGTGAGTGGGACAGCGGCGCCAGGGCCACCGGGTGAGCCCCGGGGGGGACTGTGCGCTGGCCCTGGCCCTGCCCATTGTGGTCTGGGTGGCCGCACCTGCCGCGAGCTCAGTGCCCTGGCGGACACCACAGCCTCTCACTCGGCGGCTTGCAGGGGCTGCACTGACCAGCCAAGACACTGGCGATCCCTTCTCCCGCCGCCCCCACGGCCCAGAGACGGTGCCATTCCGGGCCGTCTCCCCGTGACGCGGGGCCCTTCCATTTTGCCTTCTTTTGAGCTTTGCAAACTACTTCAAAGTCAGGTGTTTTTTAAACACTCCACCTAAGCTGAAGGGAGGACATGGTGACTGAGTCCTCACAAAATGGGCCTGGGGGGCTCCCGAGACAGTCCTCCCCATGAAAATGCGCCCCACTCCCACCAGCTCCTTCGCCCCCGTCGAGCTCTGGGAGAGGGGGGGTGGGAGGCAGAGGGGAGGCCAGATGTGCTGGGACCCCAGGCCCCGGCCCTCTACCTCTCGCCACGGTGACACCGATGAGCGCCCGGCCCATGGGCCTGAGAACGCGGCAGCCACGGCCCGTCCAGGAGTCCTGAGCTGGACTCGGAGGTGCAGCCAGCACGTGGGGGTGCAGCCGCCTTGCCCTTTCAATTGTTTCTCAGTTGGGGCAAAAATCAGGGTGAATATGTGAATGGCAGGGAGACGTGGGGCGGTGTGCCCCCAAAATTCACGCTGAAGCCAGGTCCCCGGTGTGATAGGCGGGGATGGGGCCTGGGCCTTTGGCTGCGTCAGGAGGGGGAGCCCCAGAGGGAGTGAGTGCCTGGGCCCAGGGCCCGACTAGCGGGCACAGAGAGGGAGGCCATTGTGGCTCTCAGCAGCATGCCCGCGCCTCGGCCTGGCAGTGCAAGGGGTGGTGCTGGCCGGTCCAGGTCTGCCAGTGCGTGGCTGAGGCACCTGCTCCCCAAGGACGGCACCTCTTTAACAGCACTGGGGTCTCCCTCCTGGACCTTGGGGTGCCAGCCAGCATGACTGTCCTCGCTGGGGGGCCAGGAGGGAGCCGCACACTGCTCTGGTGACCTCAGGCCTTGCGCCTCTCCAGACACAGAGCCCAGCGGCCCTGCTGCGGTGCTCACCTTGGCCTGGCCCTTCATTAGCACGACGCTGGAGATGATGGAGGCCTGGGGGCCCCCCGCCGGCTGCCCCAGCTGCGCCGAGCTCAGCGACCGTGTGGGTCTCGAGACGCCCTGTGGAGAGCAGTGGGTGGGGAGAGGACCTCAGGGGACCGGGCAGGAGAGGCCCCAGGGCCCCTCTCCTGTGGCCCACAGCGTCGTATCCCAGCTGGGTGCCCTGGCTGGCTGAGCCAACACTGCAGGCCCACAGCAGGGGTTCCCCGAGGGCCCTGGAAATGCAGCCACTCCCAGGGCGTGCCTATCATGGCCCCATCTATGGTCTATGAGCTGAGGTCCAAGCAGAGGGCCAGGTGCACCCACTGGGCAGCCCCCAGCCAGCTGCAGTCCCATTTGCACCTCCAGCTGCTCTGCCGCCTCGCTCAGCGCCTTTCAGGAGCCAGAGGCCTCCTGCGCACAGCACCTAGCCCCGCTGTGGTTCTCCTAAGCCTGGGGGTCCCTTTCAGCTCTGGGGCATCACTCTGCTGACCCGCCCGGCCCAATTCATGTGCTCCCGCGAGTGCTCCCTGCACTGGACAGGTGCCTGGCCTGGGGAGGGTGCTCCAGGGGGCCTCTGCCCTGCAGGGCCGTGCCCCCAGCCATCCCCTCCTTGCAGTCTGGGGCTCCAAACCGGACAAAGCGCTGCACCCCCTCTTCCCTGGGCCCCGCCCTCATTCTTACCCCAGCTCTGCCTGCTGGACTGTCCAGCTGCTGAGAGAGGGACTTTCTGGCGCTGCACAGGGTGTAGGGGTGCCGGTCTGCAGGAGCCACACGCTCCCTGCTCGTTGGGAAATCCGTGTCTGCTGGGCTGCAGGGGCTGACGCCTGGACCGGGAGAGATGGTGCGGTCAGAGGCCGCCCTGCCCCCAGTAGCTGCTGCAGCCGAGCTGGCGTGAGGGGCCACCTCAGCGGGCAGCCCCCCCAGCTCCATGCAGGCCCCTGTAGTTGGGGTGCAGGTGATGCCCACCACCCTCAGGTGCTCTCTAGAGAGGGGGCACCTCCTCCTGGCGGGTTCTGGGCGCTCAGAAACCTCACCCGGGTCACGTCTCCACCTGACGGCAGACAGCAGGGCCAGGCAAAAGGCTGCAGGCAGACGGGAGCCAGGGTCAGCAAAGAGACCCGATTCCCATGGGCCCCCATCCAGGTGCTCGTGCGCAGGCACCCCGTGAGCGAAATGGAGGCGCCTACAAGCCGACCCCAGCCTGAGGCACGGGCCGAGGCCCTGGCAGGCTCCAGGGGAGGCTGAGCTGGCCTCGGTAGGAAGCCGCAGCTGGCACCAAGGGCGCAGGAGCGTATTTACAGCTTCGGTGAAGGGGGGTCGTGCAACGGCAACATGAATGGAGCGGGGAACCAGACGCGCTGTCAGCAGGCAGCCCGGTGGTGACCATGAGTTACACGGACTGCCTAATCACTCTGACGCAAGGGAAACCAGAGGTGGAGATAAAAACTGAACAAAGTTTCCAAATCACTGCAAAATCACACCCCGCTCAGACGCAGCTGTGCACACGGACACAGCAGCGGAGGCAGACAGACCGGGCCCAGGACGGAGCTGGGGCCCGCCAGAGCGGCCCTCACATGGCCCCGGATGTGGCCGCGCCTAGCCCGGCCTGTCTAGGTCCCCCAACTGCGCCTGAGCGAGGGCCAGTCAGGAGCAGGCGGCCTGGCCAGAAGTGCGGGACGCGCCGCCGCAGAAGCTTCCAGAGTCTCACTTCACACCCAACAGAGTGGAGTGCACATTTGGAAGAGAGGCAGGTTGTTTAAAAACCAGAAGAAAATATTTAATACTTTTTCATTCCTATTGAAAGTGGAAGAAACTTTGACATTAGGGCAGAAAAAGTCAACTCTCGATGACATAAACTTGAGACCAACGTGTAAAATGAAACAAATTAAAAGAAACAGACTGAGGCAGATCGTCAGCCATGACGGGCCAATGCTAACCCAGACACGGCGCTCTCTGGCCGTGGGCAAGGTGCTGCTGACCCGCAGGTCTGGTCAAGAAGGACCGGGCAGGCTTGTGGAGGGGGCCACTGGCCTGAGGTGCCAGGACTCGGCCCCAGCAGGCGCTGCGCCTTCGGGGGAAGAGCTGGTGGGCCAGAGCCTGGAGGTGGGGGGGAGGGTGCCTGACATGGCTCCCAGGTGCCCCAGACTCGGCCAGACCCAGGGCCACCCTCCCATGCAGCCCGCTGGGACCCTGCGCAGGGTGCAGTGGCCTGAAGGGCAGGCTCTGCGGCGGGGGTCCCAGGGAGCCCCACTTGGAAAGCCCTGGCCGTTGGCACCTACCCCTATGGGCCTAGGGCGCAAAGCCACGCACTAGGCAGTGGCAGTGCCCGGGTGAAGCCAGCCCACCTGCTGACCACGGCTCCCTGAGCCGGCCCCACAGCTCTATGTCATGGGCTTCTCCACCTGCCTCTGGGGAGTGGGTCCAAATGTGGCCCTGGACCTGCTGGCTGGGCAGACCCACGATGGATCTGCCCCGGGGGCGCTACTGGAGCCCAAGAGGGGCTGCCCTGTGACCCGCCAGACATGCCCAGAGACCAGGGAGTCTCTGCTGTCCTCCTCTGCGCCAGCGGCTTCCTGGGAGATGCAGTGGTGCAGCAGTGGGGAGGCCAGTCCCTGCTCTTTCCACAACCCCGCGCCCCTCACAGGCCCGTGGGGCCCGCCCCGCGCACATCTGCGCGACCCCTGCATCCCCGTCCCCACCCCCTACGGCCCCCACCGGCGCATGTCCAAGGACACACTCACTGGTGGAGTTGCTGCGCGTCCTGGGCTGGCCGGCCTTGGGGGGCAGGAAGGGGGCGCTCTGCAGCTCTAGTCTTCCAGACGATCCTCCAGAGAAGGCTGCGGAAGTTTCCTGCAAAACAGCTCTGGTCTCACTAGGCGAGTTTGAGGGAAACCAAGGTCCAAGAGCCCATGGACACCTCTGTGCCCCCCCTCCTCACAGCGGCGCCAGGCTGCTGCAGCGCTCCAGTGAGGAGGGCCTGGCCAGGTGGCCCTGCACAGGGAGGGCATCCCCATGGCACCATCGCCAGGCCCTGGGGTCAGTCAGAGCTGGCCAGTGGCTGCCCACAGGCCTCTCGGTGCCGGCCGGCCCTGCTTGGGGCCAGAGCGAGCAGCCCCAGACTCGCCTGCACCGGCCACCCGGGTCGGCACCCCCAGGGACTGCGGCCTCCCTGCCCCTCTGAGGAGGGCGACAGCCTCAGTCTCCACCGGCGCCCAGGGCCTGCTGCGGCCAGGTCTGATCAGCCGCCAAGATGTGGTTTAGTCCTCAAGTTAGGTCATCCCATCACTCACACCGTGACCCTAAGAGTGAGTGAGTGTGTGTGTGTGTGTGTGTGTGTGTGTGTGTTGGTGTAGGGTCGAGGCCGGGCAGAGATGAGGCAGGAGAAAATGGGAACTTGAAACTGCTGCCACCTGCATCCCACCTCTGCCCGGTTTGCGTTGAAAGAACAGCCAGTTCTGAGAGAAAACACTTGTTTGAAAAGCAACTTCGACTCTACATTCTCCACCTCCCTCCAAGGCCAGATCCCGCCCTATAAAAGCTTGCCCTGTCCCCCGCGGGGGTCATCAAACCTCGCCCAGAGCGCAATAAATATCCTGCCTATGAGAAACTTAGCCTGGCTTTCCTTTCCTTCACCGCGCCAATCTTTTAAGTGTGTGTGGGGCAAGGTGTGCGGGGGAGGTTTGGGGGGGGGGTGGTGTGTGTTTGTGGTTTGTGTGTGTAGTGTGGTGTGTGGGGTATGTAGGGGGTGTGTGTGTGATGTGTGTGTGGTATGTGTGTGTGGGGTGTGTGTGGTATGTGTGTGTGGTGTGTGTGGTGTGTGGTGTGTATGTGGTATGTGTGTGGTGTGTGGTGTGTATGTGGTGTGTGTGTGGAGCGTGTGTGGGGTGTGTGTGGGGTGTGGGGGGTGTGTGGGGGGTGTGTGGTGTGTGTGGGGTGGGTATGTGTGTATGTGGGGTGTATGTGTGTGTGGAGTATGTGTGTGTAGGGTGTGTGGTGTGTGGGCGTGTGTGTGTGGTGTGTGTGTGGGGGGTGTGGTGTGGGGGGGGTGTGGCGTGTGTGGTGTATGTGGGGGGGGGTTGGTGTGTGTAGTGTGTGTGTGGGTGTGGTGTGTGTGGTGTGGGGTGTGTTTGGGGGTGTGTGGTGTAGGGGGGTATGGTGTGTGTGGTGTGTGTGTTTGGGGGGTTTGTGTGTGGGGTGTGTGTGGTATGTGGGGGGGTGTGGTGTGTGTGGTGTGGGGTGTGGGGGGTGTGTGTGGTGGGGGGTTGGTGTGGGGGTGGGGGGGTTGTGGGTGTGGGTGTGTCGTGTGTGCGCGTTGGGGGTGAGTGTTTTTCAGGGAGGGGCGCAGACAAATGTCCACACCTGATTTCCAGGTCGGCCGCTGCCTCCCTCCCTCCCGACCCCGGAACTGCTGTTTCGTGGGTCCCAGGAACGTCTGGACTTGACCTTCGTCCTCTGTGGTCCATGGGCCCTCAGGAGAGACAGAACGGCCAGGATGGCCCATGGGGTGGGCTAGGATGCCTCTTGCCCGAGCAGGTGACCCCAGGGCCATTGAGGTGCACTGGACGTGTCCGTCCCCCCAGAGCTGTGTGAGAACCGGCATCAATGGTCAGCAGACTCGCCCAGGCCCCAAAGAGCAGCCCCGCGTGGAGGCACAGAGGAAGGAAGGGGTTGGGGACGGCTGCTGGGGAGCGGTCAGGCCCAGGGTGGGAGCGGAGCTGCGCTGGACTTGAGGCAAACAGCTACACTTCAAAGAAACAGCTGGAAATCTGAGGGGAGCCCCGAGGGCGCGGCGGCTGGGGCTGACTGAGGAATAAGGCGGAAATGATACCATTAAGAGCCAACAACCTGGCCCAACCACTGTGGAGAGCTGTGTGGAGATTCCTCAACCTGCTGAAGATGGAGCTTCCATATGATCCAGCAATTCCACTCCTAGGTATTTACCCAAAGGACACAGAAACATCGATTCCAAAGGGCACCTGCACCCCTATGTTTATAGCAGCACTGTTTACAATAGCTAAGCTTTGGAGACAACCCAAATGCCCAAAAATAGATGACTGGATCAAGAAGATGTGGTACATATATACCATGGAATATTACTCAGCAATCAAAAAGGATAAACTCATGCCATTTGCAGCAACATGGATGGAGCTGGAAGGGATCATGCTCGGTGAAATAAGCCAGAAAGAAAAAGAAAAATACCGGATGGTCTCACTCATAGCAGGAATCTAGAAAACCTAAATAAGGGACCAGGAAAAAGGCTAGTTATAATAAAGTAAAAATCAAAATCAACAGGCAACTATAAACCAGAGACACACCACGGTGGGCGGGGAGAAGAGGGATTAAGGTCAAAATCAGGGAGTGGGAGGGCCTCCCCGGTGGCGCAGCGGTTGAGCGCTGGGTTGCGAAGCTGCCCGCGCCTCTGCGGCGCCGGTTCAATCCCCAGCTGCTTCCCGGTCCCGCATGGCGCGCAGACCTCTCCTGCCGCCCGCTGCTCCCCTCAGCAGTGTACTTCGGTCCCTCTGCCTGCTCTGCTCCCCGCTCTGGCTCTGGTGAATTCTCTCACCCTCCTGCGCTTCTGACTGTACCCAGTGCTTGTATAAACAAAGAAAGAAAGAAAGAAAGAAAGAAAACATGCCTCTATAAAAAAATTAAAAAAAAAAAATCAGGGAGTGGGAATTTTATGGGGAATATAACCAGGATGAAAATGCATACATTATGCAAAATAAAAAATGATGTAAAAAGTATATAAAATAAAAAATATATATATAAATTTTTTAAAAAGAGCGAGCGGGAGGCTAGCATGGAAGCGCTGGAGAGAGGGCCAGGACTTGAACCAGGAACACCCGATGCCGCGGGAGAAGAGACGAGGAGAGCAGCTGAGGCCAGCGTGCTGGGAGCCCCAGAGCCGCCGGGTCCGCCCACCTGCACGTCCTTAACCTGCAGACCGGAACTCGCACAGTCCGGCTGCCAAGAAGCGAGAAGGCGGCCCCAGGCGTCCACCCGTGTGGAGACTTTGCCTACAGGCCGTGCCTGCCGCACGCCCACCGGGAACACCCGCAGCCTGGGGTGCCAGCCGGAGCCCACGTGCCCAGGGAGCCCCGGGGAATAGGCCTAGGAGGAGCACCAGCCCGGAGGCCTGCACAGCAGGGTCCTGGCAAAGGGAAGCAGCGGGTGGCCAAGTCCAAGTAACAACGACCACAGAAGAGCTTGTGGTTCACAAGCAAAAAGTAGCTGAACTGCCTGAGAATAAGGAGCCCCAAGCCAGGAAAGGCGCCGCAGGAGTAGCGGGCTTGGGTGGGCACCCAGAGGCGCCCCAGATCGGGGGTCAGGCGCTGGGGTCCAGGAGCGCCGGGCGGCGAGCTTAGGAAGAAGCCGGGCCGCCAGGGACTCCGCGTCGGGCTCAGGGAGGGGCCGGGCCGCCGCCTCCAGCCCTGGGTGTGGGAGGCCCTGTCACATTCCTCCCGCTGCCCGAATCATGAGACCTGAGGGCCCCTCCCAGGCCAGGGTGCTCATCGGAACAAGCCGCCCCTCAGCCCAGGCCTCCCCACGCCGGAGCAGCTCACCCGGGCCGGTCCCCGCGCGGCGCGGCCCTCAAGGCCCTCCAGGCCCAGGCCCCAGGCGCCCCTGCTCCAATGGACACCCCGCTTTGCCCGCCCACTGTGGGGCATCCAACGGGGGTCTCTACACGCGCCCTCCTCTGCTCCGCTGCCGCCGTTACCCCTGCGCTCAGCCTGCCTGCGCGAGCCCGGGCCGCACGCGAGGTGTAGGCCGTAACTGGGGCGGGCTCGGCCTGCGCACCTCACGTCACCCAGCAGCGCCGCACGGAAGAGATGGCAACGTTGCAGCTACAAATCTCCAATCACAACCGGCGTCTTTAACACACTTCTGCTAGGGCCTGAGAGGGACAGAAGCAGTAAAGACAAATGCGTTTCTCTGCTAATTTTAAACAGTGAAATGTGGGCTATCTAGACACGTGACTGAACCACCATACTTAGAGGAAAACTGGTCACTTTAGAAGCACTTACTAGAAAGAATAAGAGCTGGGAACCAGGGCCTCCCTGGGGGCGCAAGGAGCTAAGCACTGCACTGTGAAGTTGTCTGCTACCTCTGCAGCATGAGTTCGATCCCCAGCCAGGGAGCAACTCATGTGGCGCAGCAGATCTCTCCTGTCTCCCCGCTGCTTCCCTCAGCAGTGGATTTCAGTCAGCCTGCCTGTTCTGTTCCCTGCTCTGTCTCTGATGGATCCTCTCACCACCCACAGCTCTGGCCTGTACCCCAGTTCTTATATGCATAAATAAATAAATCTTTAAAAAAAAAAAAAAAGAGCTGGAAACCAGCCATCCAGCACCCTCTCCGAGACGTCAGGGGAAACAAGCAAGTCGCCATGAGGGGCGTGCGGGAAAGGCAGAGACTGGTCTGGGAGGCAGGTCCGGGGATCCAGCAGGCCCAGCGGGGTCCTCTGAGGCTGATTTGAAGACAGAGGGAGCCCCGAGAACGGGAGCAGGAACGGGGGCCGCCAGACACAGCCCGGGGCCTCGTGGGGCCAGGCCAAGCTCCCCCAGGAGCCTGCAGACCGTGTGGACAGCTATAGCTACCCCCATCAGAATTTCAATGAAGATGTATTAGGATTTTACGGGCAAATTTATGCTAATAAATTCAGATTAAAAAGTTTCTGTGGGCAAATGCACCTTACCCACATTGATGCCAGGAGAAGCTGAAAATCTGCACGTCATTAGCTGGGCTACATGGTCCTTTAAAGCCTTTCTACAAAGGCCTCTCAGGCCGAGATGGCTCGGGAAAGAAATCTCCCGATTCCCTAAAATCCCGCCTGGTCTTGGTCAGCCTGGCACACCCTAAGCGGCGTCACGAGCCCAGGCGCCGTGGCAGGGGGGATGACGCCAGGGCGATGGTGGCAGAGCCCTGCCTGGTGGGTACGTCGAGTTCATGGTTCCCAGCACACGCCACACACACCTCACCACCCAGACAGTGCCCAATCAGGAGGCTCCAACTGGTGAAAAGGCCACCGGCGCCTACAAGCCACAAGGGCAGGCCTCGGATGCCCACTGGAGCCCACCGTGGGGCGGCGGGCTCCTCGCAAGGACAGACGCAACAGCCGCTGAGCGGCCGGCTGCGGGCCACGGCAACCACACGTGACCACACAGCAGCCGTGGACTGAGCTGGACCCGCACATCGCCTGCCCGGAAGCTGGCGTCCAGGCCAGGGGTCAGGTTGCTCCCGGGCACTTGCGGCCCCGGCGCCGTGACCCCCTTGGTGACCTTGGGGAGCAGTGGGAGGAGGGAGCAGCAAGGAGGAGGGAGAGGCTGGAGAGGGAGTTTGGGGAGCTCAGCTCCACCCTGGGCTTCCTTCCCACGGGCTCAGCGCCCAGCCAAAGGGTTTCACCCCCAGCAGGTGCCAGGAGGGTCTGTCTGGGGGACGCAGGCCCCGAGCCCTCGAGGGTCCTGATGAAGACCCTCCCGTTTTCTCAGTTAGGACGTCTGGTGCTCCACTTGGGTTCCTCCCCGGAGGGCTGGAAGCATCCCCCTAAAGGAGGCCCCCACTGGCACCTCAGGGCTCCCCCAGCCTCCCACAGTCTCCCTGGTCTCCTCCCTCTCCCATCTCCCCAGGCTCCCCGGGCTCCCCAGTCTCAGGCGCAGACCACTTTGGCACAGCAGCCATGGGCGGGGTTGGCCTGTCCTGGCGGCCAGCGAGGGCTCATTTTGTTTAGTTGCTGCTCCTTCAACTTCCTCTTCTCCAGTTTCACGCTGGGCGTGTCGGGAGAGCCGATGTCATGCCTCGACCAGATGTGGCTGGAGCCGGGTCCCCACACGATGCCGGAGGCAGGCAGGCCGCACCCGACAGGGGGTCTTCTCAGCAAACATGGGGCTTTATCCAGAGACGATCCACAGGCAGCAGCCACAGGGTCTCCGCGGGTGGGGGCGGGGCTGACACCCATGCCAGGCAGAGAGCAGCTCCGCGGCCCGCACACAGGCTGGGGTGCCGGAACCTCAGCTGAACCCCGGGACACCTGCGGGTGTCCTCCCGGGCCCTCGTCTCCTGGCAGCACGGGAACGGCCCCGAGGGCAGGATGCCAGAAGCTCAGGGGCAGGGAAGCCCAGACAGCAAGAGCCGCTGCTCCAGGACCCGGAGCAGCGCCTTCACCCGGGCTCTGCCATCACCCGGGTTGAACGCCTGTCACTGGACGGGGCCCCTGCCTCATCCCTCGTGGCACAGCAGGAAGCTGGCCAGCTCCCCAGGCCAGTGGTCCCCTTGTGCCCGTGTTCCGGGGGCTGCCCGCCCTGGAGGGCCCCGAGCACTGGACACCCTTGTACAGAGACCCCCAGAGGTGCCCAGGCCACTGGTGGGGGTGGGAGGATCCCTGCCTGGCCATCCCTGAGGGACGCTGCCACCTGCAGGTCACCGCCAGGCAAGGCTAGGCCGTCCTGGGCAGGCAGCCCGAGCCCCAGCCCTCTCCACTGCACCGCTACCAGGCTGCACCCGCACTCAGCACCCCAGGGTGCAGACCTCCCCGATGTCCGCTGGGCAAGGTGGCTGCAGAGGGTTTGGGGTGCCTTTGCCGCTGTGTTGCAGACGACTGGCCTCTCCCACAGGGCCTTGGGCCTCGCAGCCACGCGGGGGCAGAGCGGCCCTGCCCCCTGGGCCCAGAACTGGAACCAGAGCCCCCCGACTCGGGAAGAAGTGGGCCCACAGCTTGGCTCCGCCCAGGCACGCACCGGCGGCCGCCCAGCCCCACACACCTTCGTGACACACGTGTTCCTGCTGCTCCCGCCGCGGTCGCTCTCCGCGGCCAGAGCCACTCCCGGCCCCGGGCCCCGCCCGGCCTCCGACGTGTCGGCCAGCTGGGCCGCGGAGTGGAAGAGGCCCTCCCGGCCTGGGGAGGCCTCTGGGGGCCCCGCACCCCTCTCCTCAGGACTTGAGCCCTCGTCCCTGGGCCTGGCATGGCAGAGCACCAGCGAGCGCGACAGGGCCCGGAGCTTGGGGGGCTTCCGGCTCTTCCCGGAGCGGCCGAGCAGCTCCATCCGCAGGGTGGAGGCGAAGCTGCCCTTCTTCCTCTCCTGGCCTCTGGCCCTCGGTGGACGGGTGGCGACGGGATTGGGCCTGGCCACCTCCTGCGCCCCTGGAGGGAAGAGGAAGCGGGAAGAAGTGATGTGACGGCTGCTGACAGGGCAGGCAGAGTCGGGGCGAGACCCAGCTGCCTGCGGGACAGAGGGGACCCCGCTTGGGCACTGGCGCCACCAGTGCCAGGCCTCCTCCAGGCCAGCTCCTGCAGCTGGGGAAACTGAGGCACCTGGGCTTAAACATCGGTGTTGACATTTACTAATGGTGTCGGCTCTAAGTACATTACTCAGGTCCAGGCCCCAGCGCTCCTCGTCTGTTAAGTGGCGTGATGGCGGTACTCCCTCGCTGGGGTGGCTTTAGGGGTCTCCTCAGCAAGGCGTGTAGAGCCGCTGCTGCCATGCCTGGCCATGGATGACCCCGGCAGCCAAGGCTGTTTCTGTCTCCCAGCCCCACACTCTTCCTGCCACCGGGACCCTGCTGGGAGGTGCCACGGTGAGAGTCAGGCTGGGTGTCGGGAAAGACTAAAGGGCTGTGGAGACGTGCGCCTTGGGGGTCCTGACGTGCCTTGGGGGTCCCGACACTGGCAAGTCACCTGTCAGATGTGCTCAGGTTGCTGGCCAGGGCCAGGCCCAAGGCTCCCAGTGACGCCCCAGCCTCTCCCGAGTCCCTAGGTCACAGAGCCCCGGCCGCCACCCACTGCCTCCGTCCTCGGCTCACAGAGGCAACCTGGTCACTGACCCCGCATCCAGCTCACCCGCAGACAGCGGGCCCCGCCCAGCTTCGCCAGGCACTCACCTGCTCTATGCCCGCAATGTGGCGCCCTGGAGCCGCGTCCAGAGAGCATCTGGCTCAGGCTGGATGGAGCAGAGCCTGCTGCTGGCGGCCACGGGGCGATGGGGCCAGGTCCCGCCGCTGGGCGGGCCTTGGGCAGCAGCGGCCTTTCCGCAGAGCAGGCCTGTCCCCACACCTCTGCTTGAAGCAGACTGCTCCAAGCCTCGTCGCTCCCGTGCTAGCCCTCAGCTGAGCCATGTCTCCCCAACGCTCGCGAGCAGGGAGTTGAGGTGAGTGATCCTGTCAGGGCTGCTCCGCCGGCCCCCACACTGCCCTGTCTAGGAGGCCAGCTGAGGCCCCGCCCCACAGATGGACCCGCAGTGCCACCCATTCCCACAGGGCCTATGGACGCCCCTTAGCCCTAGGGTCCCTCCTCGGCCCTGGGGTCCCTCAGACATCGAGGCCAGCAGGTGGGCCTGGCTCTGGCCACAAGCCCTGCATGCCCACACTCAGCCGGGTCTTACATTCTCAATTTCAGAACGTCACTCCTCACTCCCTGGAAGCCAGATTCCCCTCCCTCCTGGTGACCAGCAGCCCACACACCTCCTGCTTCATGGACACGTCACCAGAGGTGCAGCCCCCGGTGCGCCGCTGCCCCCCGCCTGAGTGTGCCTGCCCCCCCCCATGTCTCTGCGGGGCTCGCCAGGTGCCCTGACAGCAGCCGCTGCGCTGGCAGCTCTATCAGCATGATGCTGGCCCCACAGACACCCTCGTTTTGCCAGAAAAGCAGTGGCCGGCGCTCGGGGCTGTGCCTCTCTGGGATGACACAGCTGCAGTAAGCACCCGCCAGCACCCGCCCCCCATGCCCAGCCTTCACCCCAGGGCCCACCGGCCAGCCTCAAGCCAGCTTGTCCTCTCCCACCCCCTGGCCCAGCTCCTCCCGCCTGCCCGCCTCCCCTCCCTCTCCACGTGGCCCCTGAGCCCAGGGCCCTGGCCCTCGCCCGGCTTCTTCACGGCACCTTCCTTGGGCCCTCGCCCAAGGGCTGCAGCCGGGGGCGTCTGCTTCCTCCCCCAAACCTCTGGAGCTCTGTCCCACCAGACCCACGTTCTGCGCACCCCGGAGCCGTGAGCAGAGGACGCGGCCTGCCTGCTCAACCGGCCCCCCACCGCCCACGTGCACCGTCCGGACAGCGCCAGCCCACGCTCAGCCTGTTCCCGTGCTCACACCTCTCCTTGGTGCCGCCTTCAAGCGCGTCCTAAGCGTTCCTCCCTCAGCCCGCCGGGCATCCTGCACACTCCCCGGCCCAGAGGCCCAGGCTCAGGGCCCACCTGCCCCGCCCCCCACTCAGCTTCCCAGAGCTGGGTGCCTCAGGCCGACAGCCCTGCAGTCACCCTGACCGACCTCTGTCCCTCGCTGGGCCTCCCTGAGCCCACTTGGGCCTCTGCAGAGGAGAGTGCGTGTGGCAGGGAAGGGTCGCACCAGCTCTGTCCAGCGGGCACGAAAACTTGAAAGTCAACCAAAGCCGGGAACTAAAATCCTTCTGGACTTGCTGGCTAGGCAGGGAGGACATGGGTGTGGGTTGGTGAGGGGCCGCGCAGGGGAAAAGCCAGCATGGGACGGACCCCCAAAGCAGAAAGGAAGGGAGGGGGGCAGAAAAGGAGGAGAACAGGAACCCAAGCACAGCCTGTGAGCACCTGGATCCAGCCACGCCTGAGGCCCCACGTCCAGGGGTGCAGACAGATTTCTCTTTTTGGTCAAAAAAGAGAGATGGTGGGTGTGCTTCCTGACGTGTCTGGCATTAGGTATGGAAAACGGCCACATCCAAGGAGGCTTTGGAAACTTCTGTCCTAAGCCTAGGAGTCTGCTACACCCAGTCAAGGCCCACACGCTTCCCCCGCCCCTGCCCGGTTCTGGGCCAGCACATCCAGCGGAGAGCACAGCACCCCGCAGGCGCCCAGCCTGGGTTGAGGGGCGGCTTGGCCTGACACACTGACCAACACAGGCTGCCAGGCGTGCAGGCCGCCAGCTGACCAGTGCTCCCAGCCAGCGCAGGCCCTCCCTCCAGCCCTAGAACCCTGGTCTAGCCTAGGAAGGCGAGGGGCGGGTGAGAGGGCAGTCCGGCCCCTCGCCACCGCCTGCCGGCCGGCGACCAAACACACAGGGTCTCCGTCCAGTGGAGGCATGGGGCAGGCCCCAGGTTGGGTCTGGGGGGACACTGGTTGCAGCCTCCTCTTTGGGGGCGGCCTTCCTCGGGGTGCCCTGGGATCTCTGCACATGCTATAGGGTGTGAAGGGTCGAGAGAATGAGCCAGTGTCAGGAGGGCCAGGCCACCCTGACCACTCACCTCTGGTCACGTCTGGAGAGTAAGAGGGGCGTCCCCCGCAACCACGAATGGTGGACAAAGGACAGAGAGGGGGCAGTGGAGCTGTCCCCCGTCCTTCCCAGGCCCGAGAGAGACAGTGGCCACAGAGAGCACCCCCTGTGGAGAAAGGCGCCACTCCACTGGGCCCCAGGACAGGTGGAGGGCCCCGAAGGGGTGAGTGTCCGCTGGCCAGGAAGGGAGGTGTGCACTCGCCTGTGTCCCCAGGGCAAGGAGCCTGCGGGCCCCCTCCCCAGAAAGCAGACACGTGGGGTCTGTGCACGGTCAGGCACCCCGAGCCAGAGCCCGCGCTCACCCCAGGGTCCTGGCCTGAGTGGGGAGTAAGGGGACGGCATGCGGGAAGGCCCTTCCACGCAGCGCCCTCCTTGGAGAGGGGTGTCCACAGAGCAGCAAGTGCCTGCCCCTCTGCCTCCCCAGACCAGAGCGGGTTCTGGACAGGGAAGCCAGAAATCCCAAAGCAGGAGCGCTGAGGCCGTGGGGGGCCCCAGCCCTCACACCCCACACTTGGCCCCCACCGGCCCTCGCCCCTCACCCACCTCCCAAAACTGCCGCTGCTCCTGCCACCAGCACAGCCCACGTCTGATTGGAGCAACAAAGACCGCCCCGAGCCCAAGAGGCAGCCGGTCCTACTCAGGGCCCAAGTCACAGCAGCCTCGAGGGCCAGCACTGACCTCAGCCGGCTACAGCCCTGCCCACTGCCCTCGTCCCCTCAGGACCTGGCCTGCCCCCAGGGCCCCACCGCGGCAGCGCTAGGGAGGGTGGGGCAGCCTCCGGTGCATCCGCAGGCAACCGGCAAATGTGTCCACCTTGCGCGGCCTCGCCCCATTCCTGCCCGAGCCATCTGACTTCTCCCCACGAAGGGCTCAGTCCAAAAACAGGGCTGCCAGGGCTGGGGCGGGCGGCCAGGAGCTGGGCCACCATCTGCTGGGCTGGCGGGGAGCTCCGGAGGCCAGCCAGGGCCCCAGCACCCTTGGCCGCTGCCCCCTGGATGCCCAGAAGGTGGGGACGTGGCTCAGTGCCGACAGCGGCTGGGTCGCCCCCTGACGCCAGCCCCAGGCCCTCGTAGGGGAGAAGGCTGCTGCCCATGGGTTCAGAGAGCCCGGCCTGCTCCCCCAGCCAGCGCCCCCCACATCCCCCACACGAGGGCTCAATGGGCTGCCCCAGCTCGGCCCTCCCTGCCAGGTGTCCCTGGACGGCCGCTCCAGGGGGTGCCTGCCCGGAAAGCAGATTCACAGGCTGCACCCTGTGGAAGCACAGCACAGAGGATGGGGTTTCCTGCACCCCCGAGAACCCACTATGGGGGCGTCTAGCCCCAGCCTCACACGTGCCCCTGGCTCAGCTCAGGCTCCAGAGCTGCCGGGCGGGGCCGGGTCAGCGTTGGGGGCCGGGGCCCCTCCCGCAGCCCCACTCCCTGGCGGCCGGCTGAGGCTGGAGGGCAGCCGGGACTGTGCCTGGAGAAGGAGGCAGCGAGGAATGTTGTGTGGGGGCCCGTGCCTGCTCCCCCTGCCATTCCTGAGCACAACCGCCAGCAGGGGAGCGCCCCACAGAGGCTGGGGTGTGGCTGGCGCCACAGTGGCCCAGCCCTATTCAGGGGCCTGTGAAGCCCGGCTCCGCCCGGCTCCTGTCCCCCAGGGCAGCACAGGTCCCCCCTCGCCTCAGCCACTGGCTTGACCCTGAGCCACCATGACCCCTGCCCGACCTGGTTGGCAGGTGCAATGGGGCCGCCTGGCCTTGTTCCCACGGCCCAGGCTGGTTGCTGCCTGCTCATGAGAGGCTGAGAGGGGCGAGAGGCCCCCCTGGGAGCCCCGGCCTCACGCCAGGCT